TCAGCATGGGGGTGAGTAGAAAATGAAGGCTAATCATGTTTTGGGTGTACTATTCCTTTAAGCATCCCGCGCATCAGATGCTAAGAAGATTATGAGGCGCTTCTTCAGCTGCTTAGATCAGTGTCTTTCATTTCTTCATTTTCATTGAATGTTTTTTATTTATTTATCCTTTAGCCAGATTCCAGTTATTTCTCTGAAGATTGTGGTTTGGTTTTTTATTGAATGAGGCTTATATAAACAGTTTGGTCCATGTTTATATATCTTTCATATTATGCTGACACACATTTTAAATTTCTTTGTCACCTTATCGATACAATGACTTTGTTGTGTGCATAATAAAGATGAAACAATTGACCAGAATTGGTGCGTTTTTCATTGCATATGAGAAGAAAGGAATGTCTCACCATCCCCATTGGGATTCTTTAACAGATTTCTTGCCATAGTTACTGAATAAACATGGGTTTTCAGGACCTGCAGGAAAAAGCAAAGAAGGTTACTCCACAGTAAAAAAAAAAAAACCCATGGAATTTACCTATAAAACAATTTGCACTCAATTTCAATAACTATAAAACACCAAGAGAAATCAGGTAAAGTCTGTTTAAACTTAAAGGGTCCAACATGGAAAGGCCTCAAGCTGGAATCAAACCCATGATCTTTATGCCACAAGGCTGCAGTGTTACAAATCACGGCAAAATCTAGGGCACCTTCCAGATATTTCAATAATTACTCACTGCATATCCAGGACTGCTTGAGCAGTCTGGTTCAATAAGACATAAGTTTTGTATTGATAATTAAGGGTGTGAGAAAAATAGATTCTGCCAAATATTGCGAAATGTCATCACATAATATTGGTATTGATTTAAAAATCCAGCTGAATGAATCCTTACTGTAAAACATATGTAGGTAAACATCAATGCTCCTGTTTTACTTTTATAAAACTCTTAAACTTTCAGCGTCTAGTTGGCAGCACACTGCCGCTCTGCACCAGCTACAGAAGAAAAAACAAGACCTTATATAAATTGCGATGTCTGAATGTGCACTCTGACCCCTATGCAAAGGTGCTATAGAGGGGATTCTATAGAGAGTTTCCAAACATCTAGTGGATAAAAAAAGTAGTGGACTCAAAACTTCCCACAATGCACCTTGAAAAGCACATGCCGTGTATATCCTGCTCCTTACAAGACAAGCAGATATATCTCATAACGCTTTGCAAGAGATCTCCTTGTAAAGAATCGAGTGATTTGTTTTCAATTCAATTCAGTTTATTTCTATAGCGCCAATTAACAACACATGTCATCTCAAGGCACTTTACATTTCACCAGATATTACAGTCAAATTTATTCAAAGTTTTCTATCTAAGGAAAACCAGTGAATGCAATCCCTCACACTAAGCATGCTTGTAGCGACAGTGGGGAGGAAAAAAATCC